TAAGAAAAGGGTTGAAAACTCGTGCTATCTCACGACTCAAACAATCTGTTTCAATTAAGAAATTCTATGTTCATGTTTTCTTCATTACAGTTACATAGAAAAAACCAATGCAAAGAATCAGAATCTAACTTCAATTTTCTTTCACAACAATTGTCTTAAATAAATAGTTACAACAGATGCACTCTGCTTCCTACAAAATAATTTCTTCACTATTATATTGAACGTCATATATTTCTTTGCTTATGTTTACTTCGACTTTCGAAGAAAAATCATTCATTAGATCTAATCGAGTTGCATCAACACATCAGAGATTCATCTAATGTTATTAAAAATTATTACAAAATTTGGTAGAATAGAACATACATTTATGATATTGCAACAATAATCTTATTTTTGAGCAAAGTGTAAAGAAGAGAAGTCTTTTTTCACCTTTTCCCACTTACATCATATACGTGTTGAATCTTATAACTACCCAGAGTCTAATTGTGAATAGCCTGTTATTGTGCGATATCAAAATTTTAACATTGACTGGATAAATTTAAAATCTAACTGAAATTTAATTTTCATCACAATATATATATATATATTGATGTGACCCTTAATATTTACACTATGTGTGAGGCACTTTTTGAAGATACATGTGACTTTTTTTCTAACGCATCTTGAATTTTTCAAAGAATATAGGAATATAAGAAAAAAGCTAACATATAGTTTATTATAGAATCAATGTCAAAAATATGTGATCGGCACGAAGCCAGATTGTTCAATAATGGAATATAACCTTGAAGAGTATATTTCTCGAAATATAATTGCTAACATAGTCAAGAACGGTATGAATATACAGTAGAAAGTTTCATCCGTATCAAATTATCAATCATTTCAATAAAAATTCGATCATTAAGCGATATTTTATTACAATGTTGCTGTATGATTTGAAATGCACGTGTAGTATCCTTGAAATCATTATAGCATAAAAAAATTGCATATATAACTATAAATCATGTTTTGATACAAAAAAAAATGTGTATAATGACTCTTTTTCTTTCATATTTTTCTTTTTCCATGAGCGTAAATAATACGAATGTAGATAATGAAACCTTAGTAGTTATTAATCATTCTTTCTCTTCATAAGCACAAGCAATATAGGTTTGTATTGAATTTATTTTTCTGCATTTCAGTGTCAAAGCATTTTAGAATGCAATTTTTTTTGAGAAGATATTTCATGATGTCTCCTACAAAAAAAAATATTGGATTCTATGTGAAGAATATTTAATTGATTTGAATTCAGAATTTCCCAAATTATGAAGATTTTTTATATTTTTTAGTTGTATTCAAAAATATTTTCATATGTATTAAAAAGTACGACTCATTCTCTAGAAGATCGTGTTAAAAAAATCTTTATTTCAAGAGTAATCCTCTTTGGCGATCGGAAATCGTTAGTTGTGTTATTTTTTTATCATAATGTAGTCTGAATCAGTCTTCGCCTACAGGAGAGATTTTGAAGCTCGAATTTCGTCTTGATTCTTGAAATCTTTGAAAGAAACGGAAATTTAAACATAATTTCGTGTTTTTTATGAAATCAAATTTTTTTGTGAAAAGAATGTTGAATTATTTCGTATTAACCACTGTTTGCAGTGAATATATTTTTATATTTAAAATTATTGATTTCCAGATTTTTTATTTTACCAATGATGATAATCAGTTTTCGTATGATTTTCAATAATAAAAATGATTTCTGTTAAAATTTGCATGTGCAAGAGTGACTTTTCCTACAATGATATTTCGTGAGAGAAGCGAAAAATGATCTAATTTAATGAATACAATTTTATAGAAAGTAAATATTCACTTACATTTTTTGTTGAAAATCTTCTAGGAATTTCACGATCATTTAGCAAGTGGACATTCTTCTCATAAAATGTCTCATAATATCTTACAAAGATTTTTACCACAACATGCCCTTCGAGTTATTGAGAATTTTAAACCATCTGAAGTTCCGAAAAATCCAATTGTACGATTCGATATTGTACCAAATGTCTCGATCGAAACTGCTATAGAACCACTTGTTTCACTTGTTCCGAATGTTAAAGAAATGGTATTCAAAGCGAAACAAAAATGTGATAGACCAAAAGATGGTTTAACAATTGATGAATCTACTTCAATTATGCTCTATTCTCTTGAATGGGAACCAAGAGAAAATTCATTCTATATTATTCTTAATAATACTTTACGAGCCGAAGATGAAGAAAAATTAAAACCATGGCATCTTTATTTGAAATTATTTGTTACGGCACTTGAAAAATTACCATCAATATCTAAAACAATATATCGAGGAGTAAAAATGAATTTAAGTACGCAATATCCAATTGGAAAAACATTTGTTTGGTGGGGTTTTTCATCATGTACAAGTTCAATAGAAGTACTTCAATCAGAACAATTTCTTGGAAAGACAGGCAGTAGAACTCTATTTAATATTGATTGTGATTCTGGAAAAGATATTCAACAACATTCATTCTTTCCAACAGAAGATGAAATATTACTTGTTGCTGCTCGAAAATTTAAAGTCGTCTCATGTCTTGATTCGGGCAATGATCTTCATATAATTCAATTGAAAGAAATTGAATCAGATTATCCACTTCTAGGATCTTCACG